ATTTAGGATTCAGCTTAACAAGATCTGAAAAAGGATCTTGTTCAGATGAACTTAATTATTTATAACGCAGAGCACAGTCAACTTGTAAGAGGAATTTTACATAAATTTTCTCAGTAGGGCCAGGATTCAGTGAACTCAGAAATACTCCTCAGAAAACATTGTGAGATTGTTTAATGTGGGACACTAAATGTGTCACTCTCTACAACTCTCTTAACTAGCCAGGTGGGGGTAGGCCTGTTCTTCCAGGCAATCAGTGACAGACTGAGAGGAATTGGCCTCAAGTTTGGACCAGGTGAAGTCCAGGCTGGGTATCTGGTAGAATTTTTTCACTGAAAGGGCAGTTAAGCATTGGAATGGGCTGCCCAGGGAGGTGGTGGAGTCATCCTCTCTGGAAGTGTTCCAGAATCGACGGGATGTGGCACTTAGTGCTGTGGTTTAGTTGGCATGGTGGTGTTTAGTCAAAGACTGAACTCAATGATATTGGAGCTCATTTCCAACCTTATTGATTCTATAATAAAGTAATCTAAACTGATGATGGCCTTACAGAAGAGAAGAGAGGATTTCTTTGGCCTCTCATTTCCAGGAAAGTTGGAAACTGAAGGTACCAGAGTTGATGTCAAAATAAACAGGACACACTAGACTGACTTTTGGATTCAGAAAGTGAGAATTGTGGTACATGGCAGCACACAGAGAATTCAAGAAGGAACTGTAATCACTGCAGATCATAAATTATGTCCAGTTCTTGGTTATTGCTTAGCAAGTGTATCCTAAAGTACTCAACAAGTCTCTACAAAGGGTTATTAATATGCTCCCATAAAAGAACATTGGTATTTTTTTCTTAGTGGGTTAATAGATGTTGTTAGAATGATCAGTAGATAAATATATATTAGCACATAAATAAATGGTTCCTTGTTTAAAGAAAAAAAAAGAAAAAAAAAACCAAAAACAAAAACAAAGCATGCTTTAAAAGCATGTTGGCTGTCACTGTAGCCACAAAGTGGCATTTCTTCCAGCATTTCTTTGAGGCAGCTGGAAGACTGACAGAGTCAGCTGGAGTGCAGATACTAGTTTGAGCTAAGCACGTGATCCCACTTTATTTGCTGTCTCATAGCATTAAAACCACCTGACTATGTTCTGCACTGAAAGAAAAGTGACTTACTGGCACAAATAAAGTTTTACTTCTGAGCAAAGCAGATCAGTTCTGATCAGATTCTCACATGGTTGCATTTCTAGATATTGACATCACAGATTTGTATGCACAAGTCTAGTCAAGACAGTGAGCTCATGTTCAAGACCTGAAAACAAACTATTGAAGCTAAGGCCATTATTTGCCTGAAGTCACAAAACATTTAGCTACATTTAGCAACCTCAGCCTTAATTTTATAGCACTGATGTCTATGAAAATCTCTTCACCTGCTTCGTGTTTATGCTGGAGGACAGTTATCAGTATCATGCATTCTACTGAGTCAACTTCAGAATCAGAAATACAAAGGTGACTCTGGGTAGTCTTCCAAATATGCTGCCAACATTATTCTTATACTAACAAGTGCCTGGGATTAAATCCAGTAATATTCAGTGTTACTGACTGTATTTTAAGACTATATTGCAGGAAATTAATCCATTTCCTGGTCCTGGACTTTACCAGGTAGTGGACTATTTGCATTTCCTTTTGTGTCCCCATTTGCTCTGGCTGGTACTCTTTTCTGAAAGCTGCCTCCAGATAGCAGATGTTTGCACATGCAATCCAAGTCTGTACTGGCTTTTAATTGCTATTACATTGTATTTAGTGAAAGGGGCTTCTGCAAAATCCTTCTTAGCATTGTAGCTTTCCAGACACCTCTGCTGTAATAAATTTTCTGAATGTTCTTACAGAAACAAATTTAACTTAGAACATATCATAGAAATTGTCTCCCCAGTTTACAGGTTTTGGGATCATTGCAAGCTCTTCTAAACTTTTCCTATGCACACCTATTTAGTGCAGAAACAAATAAATAAAAATGCCATATTCCTGAAGAAGGGATAGTTTCAATACTGGTTTTACTGACGAGACAGTGATAGACCTTCAGATAACTCCTACAAGTGATGATGTTGTAGTCAAGGATTTTAAAAATTATTATAGCTACAGTCTCAATTGTAGTCCTACAGACTTAGCCTTATATAGCTTGTAAATGTAGCCATAATTGTACAGTCTTTTATGACAAAGCCTGCACATCTGATGACACAGAGCTGGCACTCACCATCTCATCAATTATGAAAATACAAGAGAAAAAAAGGATACATTTTACAAATCACATCCCTGGATCTCTGAAGCACTCTACAAAGAAATTTGTCCCAGATCTAAAATTATTCAGTATCTTCATCAGTGGACTGGATTACAGAACAGAATACGCTTATTAAATATGCAGGCAACACTAATCTGGGAAAGACTGGGTTGGAATTCAAAACTTTGCAAATCCATGAAAAAAAGCAGCATACAATTCTGAAAACGAAAGCACAAATTTCCCTGGTAACACTAACTGCAAGTCCGAGAATGATAAAATGGTGCTAGAAATTGCAGGAAAAGTTCCAGTAGCTGTGACAACCCACAAGCCAGCAATGAGTCAGAGTTATCAATCTACTACCCTTAGTGGGGTGTATAAATAGAACCAACCCTTCTCTGTAAAGAATGTGAAATGAACTTTTTATGGCACTGCCAGTGCTACAGCTGAGCACTGTGGGGAGTTTTGCATGGGATCCACCTGGAGAAATCAGGGACAGATGAACAGTGCTCTAGGAAACTTGGTCACTGAGGAAGAGATGACTGACAGGTAAGTTTATCCAAAGCATTGCTTCCCACACGGGAGGTGAGAGCCATCATGCTGGGACACACTGGCCTGGATCTCCTATTGAGCATGCAGGAGTTGGTAGCGAGAGCCTGGGTGGAGGCAGCACAACACAGCAAAGGCACAAATGCTAACTGGTGATGATGGGAAAGGGGGGCTGTGTGTGCACACAGGAGAAAGCATCAGCATCAGGGCCTATTCCAAACTGAGGTGGGGACCTACCTATTTAGAGCAGTAGGAAAAGGAGTGCTAGCTCTCAGAATAAGCATACACCAGCTGATGCTCTCCATCATATGTTTTATAATGTAGTTTTCATAGTTTGAGGCTCCCTTAGAGCGCTAGAAGGACAGGTAGGCATACATTTCAAGGGATCTCTTATTTGCTATTATTCTTTTCAATATTACCCTGCAAATTTGGTAGTGTGCTTTTTGGCTCTGTTATGGATTGTTACAAAGGCTTCAAGCTGCTAGCATGGATCTAGGCAGCACTTCAAAAGAACCAGTGCCCATTTTAATACATTGCACCTCATTATTAGCTTTCATTTTTATTCTAAGAGACAGATTTCACACTACGTGACAGTACTAACAAAGCAAAATGTTCCTCTTTCTCCACAGATAAATTTAGGAGACACATATGCTTCATAAAAGCTCCAGATATTCACTGGCAGCACTCAAGAGCTTTGTAATTTGATTCGAAGAGGCAAGCCTAATCTATGACAGCTATTGTAGTTGTAATGGCCAAATCCTCATTAATCAGTTTGGGACTACACTTTGTCCCTCAAAACCCATTACAATTTTGATCATTGTTCAAATACCTTCCTATTTTCCCTTTTTAAAATTGTATTAATAATAACTAGTGTTCCCTAATGGTGGTTTGTTCATTGCTTTTTGACTGTGTACAAAATCCTTATTTACGTCACGAGTGCCAAGGTCCACATTATTTGACACAAACTGGAAAACCTAGATGTAGCAAGCTTTCCTACACATAGCATGCTATATTGAATTCCCGGACTATTGAGCACAACTTCATAATTTCATAGTTATAAGCCCTCTTAGAAGCTCAAGAAGTGGGCCCATGCAAATCTCATGTGCTTTAACAAGGCCAAGTGCAGGGTGCTGCACGTGGGTCCAGGCAACCCCTGGTATCAACACAGGCTGGGAATGAACAGACCGAGAGCAGCCATGCCCAGAAGGACTTGGCAGTTCTGATGAGAGGCTGGACATGACCCAGCAATGTGCACCTGGATCCCAAAGAGCCAATTCTATCCTGGCCTGCATCCAAAGCAGTGTGGCCAGCAGGATGAGGGAGGGGATTCTGTCCCTCTGCTCCGGTGAGACCCCACCTGCTGTGCTGCATCCAGCTCTGGATGGACCTGCTGGAATCAGTCCAGAGGAGGCCATCAAGGTGCTGAGATGGATGGAACCCATATCCTTTGAGGAAATGCTGAGAGAATTGAAATTGTTATCTGGAAACAAAGAAAGAGAAGACCTAACTGTGACTTGCCACTATCTGAAGGTAACCTATAAGAATCATGGAGAGGGCATGTAGTGACAGGACAAGGACGAGGAGCCTTAAACTAAAAGAGGGTAAGTTTAGATTAGGTATAAGGAAGAAATTCTTTACTGTGAAGATGGTGAACACTGTAACAGGTTGCCTGGAGTTGTGGCTGCTCCATCCTTGGATGTGTTAAAGGCCAGGCTGGATGGAGCTCTGAGCAATCTGGTCTAGCGGAAGGTGTCCCGGCCCATAGACAGGGGGGTTGGAACCAGATGATCTTGAAGGTCCCTTCTAACCCAAAACATTCTCTGACATCTACACAGAGTTCTAAAAGGCCATTATGATCATACCCCTTACAACTTACAGCAAAGTTTTCTTTCGTTTTGTTCTGAGTGATCTGGTGAAGCATTTCCCATACTACTCCTTCCTTCACATACTTTCTGTACAATGTCACTATGGACAGCCTCAAGTTCTACGCCACCCCCTCAGACAGATGAAATCCATCATGCCAGGCCTTTGCTTCCTCCAGCTCTTCTTCCACCTTTCTTTGGAAGCTGTGATTTCTAGTACAGTAACAGCTCAGTTTACTATTTTTAGTACCCCCTAGGACTGAATGTTACCTGCAACATGCAAGAGCAGTATTACATTTCTCTTCAGTGAGATAGGGAAAAAAGACATACATACATTTATACATATTTATTGTATCTTTTTAAAAGTAGCATTTGCAGTTACTTTTAAGCATTCACCTCTCTTCTGCTTCAAATGTGCACTTACTGAAAGAAACATCTACTGGCTTCCAAGTCCAAGATTAATACCAAATATAATACATGCCAGAATCAAGCTCCACTGCTTGTTGGCAGCTCCTGTCATCAAAACAGCATACAGTAAGAAGAATGTAGAAAAGGTCTGTGTTAATCATTCAGCAATAGGCTGGGGCTGGATTAGAATGACCACAACATCTTCTCCAGTTGAAGCACAACAATTTTCCTGAAGTTCACATTTAAATTTTTTTCTTTTGCATTGAGTAGGTGGACAAGGCAGTTGTTTTTTCTACAGTAGCTTCATAAGTTGATAATGTAATTAAGCTATCAGAAAGCATCCAAGGTAGGGCCACAAGGATGGTGAAGGGTCTGGAGGGGAAGCCTTATGAGGGGCTGAGGTCACTTGGTTTGTTCAGCTTGGAGGAGACTGAGGAGAGACCTCATTGTGGTCTTCAACATCCTCACGAGGGGAAGCAGAAGGGCAGGTACCGATCTCTTCACTCTCGTGACCACTGAGAGGACTTGAGGAAACAGCATGAAGCTGAGTCAGAGGAGGTTTAGGATCGATATCAGGAAAAAGTTTTTCACCCAGAGGGTGGTTGGGCACTGGAACAGGCTCCCCAGGGAGTGGTGACAGCACCAGCCTGACAGAGTTCGAGAAGCGTTTGAACACTGCTCTCAGGCACAGGGTGTGACTCTTGGGGTGTCATGTACAGGGCCAGGAGTTGGACTCGGTGATCCTGATGGCTTCCTTCCAACTCAGCGTATTCTACGATTCATCTACAGGAAAACAGTTGCTATAGACATTTATATTTAGAAATGTCTTCTCTTCATGTAACAACAAGAAAATACTTGAAGTCTGGCATGTAGTTAAGAGAACTGGGAACAAACCAAATTTCATTGTCAGATAAACATACGTTAACTACTATAGATTTCAATCTAGCCCAAGCACGAAGTTTTACACATACTACAAACAGAAACAGAAGGTATCAGCAAAAGACTATTCTTACATTGTTTCAAATTAATTTGCCACTATACAATTTTAATTGTAATATAAAAAGGGAAGGAATATAACAGAACAGGTATGAAGAGAAATATTTTCCAAATTTTTATTTGTGCACATTCATCAGGTGAAAAAGATAACTTTTACAGCTTCTTTGGTGCCCAATATTCAGCATACAAAAATGTAAAAGACTATTCACAAATAAAACACAAGCTCAAGCTAAAAAAAAAAAGTCTTAAAGGTAGTGCACATCGTGACAGCTTTGCTTATGAATACACAGAAATTACTGCAAAAATAAATAGAATGTCTTTTTAAAAGCAGCAATTTCATAACTTGTAAACTTCTGTTTTTACAATACAGCACTGTTAAGAGTAAAATCCAAAAGAACTGGAGTCTCTACTGTGGCCATGAGCAAGTAAAAGAGTCTGTATTCCTCTGCTGTAGTTGGTCCAGTTTTCCTTTTTGCTTTTAGTCCAATGTGCAGCAGTCTTTGAAGGTGCTTGGTTAGGGAACCTAACCATCAAGTGGTGAATTAAAAATTTATTTCCTGCTTTCAAACACGAATGGATAAATCTGTTCCACAGCACTGGCAACAGCCTTTACATTTGGCCCTGAGACAGTTTTAAAAAAGAAAAAAAAGAAGGCAGTAGGAAGAGAAAATTCAAGGAATCAGAAATTAAAACAACAGTACCTTTAAAAAAAGCTTAATATTAGTAACAATCACAACTTCATACCACAGACAATAACAAGTTCTCCCCCATTTCTCCTAACTTAACAGTTTTTCTCTGAACACTTTTCATGTGAAAGTCTTTTCTTGTAAATCTGCAAGATGTTCTACATTTGTCAATGGATAGATTACAATTAAATAATATTGTAATTTAATTTCATAACAGCTTGGCTGATTTTCAATTTAGTGGTTTAAATAGCCCAGAGAAGAGGCTGAGTGGCTGAGGTAAAATAAGGTCTTTTACTTATGTCAATCTTCTAGGAATTTATTTCTTCAAGCCTAGCCACTTACTGCTCTTACTTTAAAAACCTACCAACAAAAGCTACTGTTAAATAATGCTGGATTTAACTGAAGTACATTTCAAGCAAGATTATTTTAGGTTTGAAAATTATAGACTTGCAAATAGCTTCATTATTGATCTTAGGACAAAACCTGCAAGCTAGGGAATGGTTTGATCATCTCAGGAAGAAGGTTATCTAACATGATCTGTGAGCATCCAGGCAAAGAAAAGGAAAAATGACCTAGCAATGCTTGCTGGTGGTACCAGACCACTTTACACAATGGTAAAGTAAGATTGCAAATAAGTGAACAGTAACAGGGTGGCAGATATTAATTCTGGATACAAGCTTGGTGATGCAGGTAAAGGAGAACAGCAATTTCTCATATGCTTTGGTGAGTAGGAACTCAGAGTTTTTGTAACTCCACTTCAGACTTCAAAAGTTTCTTCCAAGTATAGAGAACTGTTCAAAATTACTCCCAAAAACAATAACTTAAGCGTAAGTTACTTAACTAATTATTGTTTTACATGCTCAGTCAGAAAGCAAATGGACAAGAATAGGATTCTTCCTGTATTTTCAAACTGGTTGAGTGAAGCATTCAGCTACAACAAGCCTGGTGAAAGATACCTGTCTTCTGGGCAGATACTGTACCCTCCTTAAATTTGGCTGCTATTAGAAAAGAAAGTTCTCAGGAAAGGAGAAGCCTTCAAAAAGTGAGAATATGAGTAGGTTAATAGTTCCAGCAAAAAATGCCACTCTCTCTAGGGCTGAAGAGATGTAAAAACTGGATCACCATTCTAGGGCATATAAGAGAAGGAAAAAACAAAACAAAACAACACAACCACCCTCATTTTTCATTTCAGAGTCAAAGAAACAATAGTTCTTTCTATTACATGCTACTGATTTTTATTATCTTTTACGAAAGTAAAAAAATCTTTTTATACTTGTCTCATGAAAAGAACTCACCTTCATGGGTTTTTTGTAACATTTCTAATTATGTATCTCAAAATTCTCTGAGGAAGAGGTATTACACGTACTAGTACTACAGAAACATGAATCTTTAAAAGAAAGTTAATCTGAACACACTTGAGAAAGAGTGCACTATGGCTGAAAAGTAATTTAAATAATTTTTAGAATAAGAAGCATAAGACTCAGGACATTTTTTTCCTCTAGAAGAGAGGCAAAGCAGAAGTCTAGAAAAACAATGGAGGTCCAAGTTAATTTTTCGAACTCACTGCTACAACTAAACTAGAAGGATGCAAAACTTCTATGTTTACCATATTTACCTACCTATTTGAAAAGAAAATTCTAAAAATATGGAAGTGATTTTCTAAGCAATGAAGTAATAAGAATCTTACAGAGAAGCTGAATCTCATTAGCAGGCTGACAAGATAAGCTGAGAACTTTTTATTACTGCAGTGAAACTAAGGCTTCTTATTTATTTTAAATCTAGTTTACTAGTTCTGGCTAGACCAGTTGCACTGTTCTGAACATATACTGCAATCTTGAAATATTTTTTAGCTCTTCATTTTTAGATTACTGAATCTGATGTAAGTTTATCTTCTTTAGAAAACACTGCTTCCAGTATCTTGTTGGAAATGTTCTGCATAAACATAGGCATTTTTTAAGCAATTAAGATGTGAAAATAAAAAAAATCCTTACCCAGCTTCTGAACCAGTAGCTGAGCTCTAACAACGGCAAGACATAATTGTTGCTAAAGTGATACAAAATGATTTTTTTGGTTTTGTAGCATTTTAACATATATTCTCTGAAAACCTGACTTTTTGTACATGGACACTGGTGGTGGACATCTCACAAGCAAACAGAAAACAAAATGAAAAATGAAAATTATGAAGAAAGAAGAAAAAAATGGCTGGCCTCTCCAAGACCCAGGACAACTGTGTCTCTGACTACATGGGAAAAATCACTAGTGCCTGTGATTCAGTGGTGGTTCTCTTCGCTGAGCTTTAATAGAAGAGAGCACAAGTCTGTAGAACTGCAAATATTGGTCAGGTTCATTTATGACAAAATGCTATACTATCCTATGAGTGTCCATAAATCTGAAGTTTGGAAATATGTATATATGAAAGGGATATTAATGCTAAATGCAGTATAGTTAACATCTCTAAAAATGGAAGAAAAAAGGAAGAAAATTCAAATATTTAAATAAACAATAATTACCTGCATTCTTAAGTGCTATCTTACTTTTGGTTTCATTAAAAAAAACAGACTGTGTACATCCAGTCTAACTAATTTTTTGAACCACCCAATAATAACACTTTCCCTACAACTCTTCTGGCACTTTCACTCAAAAACAAACTAGGTGCTAGCACAGGGAAGCTAAATCCTTTCAACATTATCTTTTGACTGTTTTAAACATCTTGCTTTCCCAAACCTACTGGCTCTAAAGTTAATTATTCCCAACAAGTTAAATATTTATTTTTTGACTTTAAAATACCTGTAACTGTGATACTGCCTGTGGAAAAAATCTGTAAGGTAGCTCTGAGAGATTTTATTCTGTAACACACGGCAGGATGAAGTTCTGGTTCATAACTAGAAAACAAAATGAAAAGTAAAAAAGAGAGATCTAGAACTGAAAAATAAAAGCTTAAGAAGTATTCCAGAACTAAAATTCTTTAAAATCGTACATACCTTGCATGAGGTCTGTTATTCTTTGTAAATTCTGGCAATCTGATCTCAAAGGGCATGTTGCACACTGCTAAAACATTCACAACTTTAAAATCTGTGAAAATTACCTTTTCAAAAGAGATGGAAAAAAAGACATTAGAAATTTACTTTACAGCAAGTCAGATGCATGGGTTGCAAAAAAAAAAAGACAAGGCTACTACTTAGAATATTTTGATGACTCAAAATCAGAATCTTAAGACTGATGCTTTTCTAATAGGCATCTAAAGAGTACTTAATGGACTCAGAATATTTACATTATCCATCTGTGGTGGAGTACCTGCTGAACTGAGTTGCATCATGGTCACTACAGCAGTATGGTTATAGTACAGTTTAGGGATGAGACACAGAAACAACTCAAACTGCTGTATTAAACACCTCCCCACTGAAAATAAACTAAATTTAACAGCTCATGGAACATCAAAGTAAGCAGAGAAAAGGCTTAAATATTGTTGTGAACTTCTGTAATGCCTTGTTGCTACATACCATTTGTATTAAAGCTAAGAATAAGGAAAAAGGTGACAACAGTTTTGCTTTAAATGTCCAGTGGCCAGTAGAGCAAACTGGTTTCCAACTCTGTAACTTTCTGAAACCCAACTTAAACGATTTGAATAACTTTCGGTTATCCTCTACCACAGATACTTCAGATGACAACAAAACAGCCAACAGACAACTGCTATACAAAGAATCTGCACTGCTGACAGTTCAGTGTTGGCAATGTCACTAGAGAAACTTTTGCTCATTTTCTGAGGTTGCCTAAACTTTAAATGGCTGCTCTTCTTCAATCTACACTTTTTAGAAAGATATTAGAAAGATAGTTGGAAAGATAGTTAGAAAGAAAACTAGAAACATAACTAGAAAGAAGCAGCTTAGCCTTAAAACAACTTAATCTTCAAAATATAAACTGCTCACTTTATGACAAAATTTGGTGTGTCCACCCTGGAAGCACTGTGCACCTCACTGACTTAACATTCCATTCCAACTTAAAAGGACTGGGTCCAAAGTACACATTTGTGACAGTAGGAGTGTCACACTTTTGCTGCACTCTGATGCAGCATTACCAGCATAGGCTGTCACCACTGCCTTTATGCACTATAATCAAAAGTAGTCTTTCCCTGAAAATGACAGCTACTGTGTCTATTTAATTGTCTGTCCCTAAATTGAACCTGTGTGTAAACAGCACAACAGACTATCAGGAAGTTTTAGAGCACCAAATCGTATAATTTTAAGTGGTTCATGTTGCTGTTTTTCAACCCTTACTATGAAACGCAAGTGGTGTTTCTGACTGGTAATGTTAACCCAAAACCAGATAAAAGAGGGAGTTTCCTGTCCTAAGTATTTTATTTGGCATATTTCCAGCTGTGCAACATGACAGCGCAGAAGCCCTTTTCTTCCTTTCTATTTAATTTAAGAAGCTCAAACTTGCCCTTATTCAGATGGAAATGTATCTGCTATTCCACTAGAAATGAGTGAAAATTATGTTCAAATTACAGTATTTGAACATTACAACATTTTCCAAAGAAATCTTTTGAGATATTGTAAATTCTAAGACATATCTGTTCATATATTAAACAAATTTTGTTGCCCATTATCCAGTGAAGAAGCACTGCTCTGAGCTGCCAAACAAAACTCAAATCCACAAAACAGAACAGCTTCTCTTTAACCAGCATCTGGAAAATGTATTTGGACACAAAAGGGCCATTTGTGTGAAAACACGTTAACTGCTAAATCATTATGCTCCCTCTTCTTTGTTTCTTTCTAAAAAATGAACTATCAGCATTGCTTGAGTCATGCAAGTCCCTTCTCATCAGAGTTACCTGAAAACCTAGTTTCTGTAGACTACGAGCTAGTCGTCTGGCACCAAATTTAGCTTCTTCTTCACTATAAAGAAAGAAAAGGATCTAGCATTAGCTAGATTGTACACACACACACACACACCACAATAGCTACTCAGACTAAAAAAGGAATCATTATATAATGTAGCACATCAACCATGATCTCATGGACAGCCTTCACTCCATCCTGCTGTAAGTATTACATTTTAACTAGATAGACATTCCAATGGAGTCCCTCATGCCCTGTTTGCAGAGTATCTTGGCACTTGGCTCAAGATGAAGTGAGAGACATGTTTTAATCATACATCATTTTAAGTACCCTTAACAGATAAATAAGATCATGCGTAGTCTGGAGTTAACATCCGGAACAATACTCTTTAATTTTGGAACAGAGATCAGACACAGAAAGTATGCAAATGTACTATTTTGCCTTACCTTTCCCTTACTTTGAAATGCAGACATATCTTAAAGGAATTCAGCTCTTAAGAGTTTAGTAAGTGTCAGATGTCTCTGAACTGAGAGTCTGCTTTTGCATCTTTCCAGTCCCTCAACACTGTAAAACTTGATTAAATTCAGGTGGGGTTTTGTGAAAAAATAAGGAGATATCCTCAGGAAAGGTCATCTCTTCCCAAGTCTTAACTTCCAGCTAAACACACAGAATTCTTAAAGGCTTCTCAAATCTCTTTAGGATTTTCTTAACAAGGCAGTTTTCCCTGCTGCTATCCCAAGAAGGCTAAACTGATGTTCAAGATTTCAACAGTCTCACACAAACACTTCACATAGAAAACTTCTTCCCAAATACATAGCTTGACAAGGATCTACATGTGATCCAGTGTGAGCCAATTTAAGCAGCAGCAAGTACCACCTCTTCTTCATTTACAATGCTGTATTTTAAAATACACAAGGATTTAGAGCTAGAGAAAGAATCTTCATTAACTCACCTTGTGGCTCCTGTGCAAATAACTTTTCCTGAGGACCAAATTGTGGCCGTAATCCTAGGTTTCCTAAGCTTCATTAAAACCTTCTAAAAAAGAAAAGTAGAAAAATTGGAAATTAGCAGTAAGTCAATTTCATACTAGAAAAAAAAATTACGTGTTACCCAAATCAACTAAAGTTACACTAAAACTCCCTTTAGTTTTGATAGGCTTGAACTGCTCCTTCATCTCTTTCAGTAATTAAAAAGCCTAGCTCCTGAGAAGAGCAAAATAAGCATGAAATAGCCAATGATTCAGTGTACACAAAATAGATTAAATGAAGGTAATTTTTACTAAATAAAAAGCTGAAAACTACAAGCACCATGCTGATTTTTTTTTCTTATTACAGTAATTTGACATTGCTGACTCCATATCAAGATATATTTTCTTGAAACAGTCATCAAATTTTGGGAGCCAAAACAGACCCTGAGGTATAACAGGCCTCATCACAAACCTTGTACCCAATATTCACCTCACCAAGTGCTGTCTCCTGAGACAGCATTTCATCACTCCCATTTCTGTACAAGTAATGTAGTAGTAACTAAATACCTACAGCAAGAGAAACAGAGAAAGAAAATTCTGCTTTTCTCTATCCACCATACACAGGTATTAGGCTGCAGAATGTTTAGCTTAAGGAACATTTCTAAAAACAGATAATTGAGGTATGCTGAATTTCTTACCCCAACATCACGCTTGTATATCACATTTGCTCCTTCTAACGCAATCTTCCTCAAGTTTAAATGACATCTTGTTCTAAAAACACACACTACATTTGTGATTAAAATGTCCAGTGCAACATCACTGTCCGCATCCATTGGGGTGATTTACAACTCAATTTTCCCACCAGCTCACCACGAAGATCACATCCTGAGAAGCAAAAATGATAAAATTAAACATACGAATAGAAAATTGCCTGTTAATGCCATTGTATACATTTGCCCCTTAAAAGATACAAGAAGCAGAAGTCACTACACTCTGACTCATTTAACAATGTGAGGGGAGGGGGAGGTCTGCATCCTTTGTGCTAGAAAATAGGACGTAACTTGTTCAAAGCTGTGTTAACAGAAATGAAGTGCATATACGTACATATATATAAGAGTATTTTAAATTGCCAGTTAAATATGGTACAAGTCTCACTAAGTATATTAAGACACTGTAAAGATTAGTGAAACTTCTTCCATAGCTCCAGTGGATAATCTTTCCTCAGCTTGTTTGAGGATGTCATTAGACACCTCAGGAAAATACACTTCTCTGACTGCTGAAGCAGATAATTCTGAACAGTTTGACATTTGTGTTGGAATGGATGAGCCTATGAATAACTTTGAACTAACACTGGTTACACAAACTGCAGTCTGTAGACAGCCTGCTACCACAGCTTTCCCATCTTCATCCAGCACTCTTGGCCTATCTCTCCCAATAACAGTTCAAACCAAACTACACAAAATGTCCTGGTGGCAGCAGCAGCCTGGGCTATCTGCACTGCCCACAGGAAGACATTGTACGGGCAGAGTGAGATGGAATGTTCCTGAGGAAAAGCAAAGGTAACTGTGATGGCACACATGCACTGCAAACCTAAGGCACCCAGAAGCATCCAGGATGCCCATGCTCATCCTCGCACACACCTCAGCTGGGAAAGAGAATCATAACACCAGCAACTGGGCTACCACTCATCCCAGCCCAAGCACACCCAACTTCTCTTCTGTAACCACATAAAGCCAAGACAGCAGGCATCTCAAATAGATCTCAGGTGAAGAAATGAAAGGGGCAAATGCAAGAACAAGATCATTGGCATATAGTGAAAAGGACTTATATAAACTTTTTACCAGTATTTCATCCAAAATAAACAAAAAGGAAAGCAAAGAACAAAATCAAAGAAAAACTGCCACATATGTGAAATGCTCCACATGGTCATTGCCATGGAAGAAGTAGGACACTATGTATCAAGATCAATAACATACCTATCAGACTATGATGTATTTATATCACTTCCAATGTTTTTGCCTTATGTTCTATATTAGAAATCTTCAAGATACAATAACATTAATGTTATCCTCAGTATTTTCACCTGACTATGCCTTCCTAAACATCATGACACAATCTGTAATGGGGAACTCAAGGTACATCTTTTGACTACCACTCACTGAAAACGCAGAAGTAACAAACTGCATGGCAGATGTGCACAACGTGCTGCATCCGCTACTGTGGTGGTTACTGCTTACACTCTGCAGCATGTTCCATGTTGAAAGAATTATTCTGTAATTGTTGGCTTGTCCAATATATGAAAAGGCAAGATGGATGATAATACAGAAAAGAGATGAAGAAACAGCAAGAGGAAAACAGAAAAACCAAAGGTTACATGTGGGGGTGGAGGGAATGCAGGCAAAGAAGAGAACAAACAGTAACTAATTAGTACTCCCAGATCCCTTTGTAAATCTTTTTTATTGAAACAAAAATTACACGAATCCTCAAAGTTAGATATTACTTATCCCATCTGGTTTTGATGGACTACTACAGATTGGGAAAGTAATTTATGGCACCAGATCCAAAGATAGCACATGTGCAGATTTTGAATGGCATGCAGGCAGGGCCAGAACGGAGCTGGAACCCGTGGCGTCTTCAGAGTGGCATTTGTTTTCTACCCTGGCTCCAACTGCTGGCTCTTACTGGAACCCAGGAAAGATTGTCAACAAGATACCTCCAACCAGCAGCATCTCCCAATTATCAGCATGCATATTCTGGCACACTCAGCCTCGACATTCTGAAAGAACACCAGAGTTGTGCATAACACCACTGAAAGGCTGCTAACATCTAAGCAACCATAGGATTGTATGATAATGTCCCCATAAAACATGGCTTATCTTAAAAAGATCCAGGGAGAAAAGTCACATGCTCATTCAGAACAAAGGAAAAAGTGGTTCAAAAGAGAGGAAAATTACAATTTAAAAGGAAAAGATCTATTATTAAGGCAAAAAGGCGGCTGTGGAGCTGTCAGTAAGGATGTTTTCAGCAATTACAATGTATTTTGGTTAGAAGTACAACCTACTTGCATAGATACTAAGAGAAGAAAAATTATAGAGATTACCATGGTGTGTGTCTCCATTTTAATTAGCCATGCTCTGAAAGCTCAAGACAACAGATACTAAGGGAGGGGCTTTTTAAATTTGAAACTGTATATATTATGTCAATGATTTTGAACACAGCCATTTCTATTAAGCATAGAAATACAATGTTAAAACTCTTCCAAGGCATGGTTTGGAAAGATTGGGTAAACCAAAATTTTTCTAGGCTTGGATACTGTGATCAAGCAGTAAGTAAGCGTTAACATATCACAATCTTTGACTTAAGCATTCATTTTAATGTCTCACACCTTACTTACAACAAAGGAAAAAACAATCTACAGAGAAGATGTCATGTTACCTTCCTTTCAGAAGCCTTAAATAACTTCAAATTCAGAGGAACCATGAGAAGAAAAGCAACTTAAACTTTGTTAAAAATAAAAATACATGGATTACATAAAAAAAAAAATTCTAACATATTTGCAAAAAAGTTCTAACAATGTCCAAGAAAGAAAGATGTTGCTCTTATTTACACGTATCTCCAGCAAGCATGACTAGCTGGAACATTCTGATCCTCCTCTTTCCCAGCTGTCTCTTGTATTCTCTGCTATTCATACACACTACAGTAGCTCTGACTGTTATTTCCCAAAACCTGAATTTCTCCATCTTTTCTGCAAAATGGGAGAAATAGTGCTCCTTTCTTATAAGACTATTTATATTCCATACTTTTGCAGTTACACTTGCAGAACAGAGGTTGAGTAGAATCCAAACATCAGTTTTTTTCCAGTTCTGGATTTGCAAATGCTTAAGTTGATTTTGTTGAGCTCAGCATAGGTTTTGTTGATTAATTTTGCCCTTTGAAGGTTGTCTCATCTGAACTGTAGAATTTTGGCAATCTAGATCTCATTTCTAACATGATGTTTTGCCAGCTAATGCTAATTTAATAATTCAATAATAAATTTAAAAATAACTTGTCTACATGTACAGCATTTCTTTTAGATTCATTTGCCTTTCTCCAACAAAAGAAACTAGCTAACGTTGATTTCAAACTGTTTTGTGCCAGCTTAATACAATCTACCCTGACAGAGGAAACAAGTTGAAATACATCTCTGTAGAAGTTTGAATTATTTTATCAGAGAAATTTTAGAGCATCGTTCTTTCTTTTCAACATAGATTTCAGGGATATATCTGGAATATTACCCTAAGAGGGGAAAAAAAAAAAAGAAAGAAGGGAAAAAAAGTAAATAGATTAAGCATGATAACAAAAAATAAAAACAACAACAAAAGCTAATGCAAGGATATTTGACACTCTAATGTAGCCTACACTGAAACCAGAGAAACTCCATAGAATAAGAAATACTTCAGAGGGAGGAACGAACACGTAAGTTCTTAAAGCATTACCTCTATATCCACTGTTAGAATCATAGACGTACTATTTTAGATACTCTATAAACACACGTGAAGACAAAACACTCTGCACGGAAATCTTACAATCTTAAAAAAGCCAGCAGTCTGTCTTCAGAAAGTTCCAAACCAACCACGCACCATCATCAAAGAAAAAGGAAAGGCACTTGGGATGGGGTATATAAACAAAGTATTATTTTAAGCTCTTGACTACCTTTGATCCAAGAAACTCAGAGCTATAAAGGTAGATGGGGGATATGTAACAATGGTTATGTTAATGTCAGAACAGTTTAATAAACACCTTTTTCACCACCACCCTAAGTATAAGCAACTTTTACTGGTTATTTTTAACCTTTCTCCAAAGCAGTTCACAGACTGACCAACTTCACATACAATTCCAACAGCCCAGCTGAAAGGATACTGGTCACTACTGTGTCAGTGGACATTTGTCAAACTAAGGCCTGAAAGGCATCTTTGAAGAAGTTAACATGAACCTCAACAGGACGTTTCCATATGAGAATGGAGAATAAATAAAGCCTGCCAGGAATGGAGAGAGATGATTACATCCTTCCACTGAAGATGTACTTTTAAAGATTTTTGTTGAGCCCCTCAGGAAACAGGTCCATATGAAATGCTGGAGGTGACACACCTCTGAAATCTGCTTGAAACCTTAGACACAGTAAGGTCACAGTGGCTGGTGAACGGCTCCCTGAAAACAAGAGCAACATAGTTACTATTGTCTGTGCAGAACATCCTCTGCTCCAAACAACTTTCTTAGTTCCAGCCATTGTGCTGGTGGTGCATGCTTTTACTTTCTGTTGCAATGGCAAGTTAAACTGTGCCTAAAGCAAAAGGCCATCTTGAAGCTACTATTCTCACCTTTCAGGATTTGCAGAGTCATGACTATATTTTGGGGGAGAAAATTTTCAAATACGTGCAAAACCATTGTCAAAGCAGGGATTTGTTCAATTAGATCCACGCACTGAATGATAATACCAGCTAGATCACAAGCAAGTAGCGCATCAGTCCTGCTCTTGGATAAGCCTACTGCATCTCCGTAGGGTCGTCCAACACAAATAAATCCATTTGCAAGAATAAAACCAAATAGCATATAGAGCAAGACAAGAAAGCATATATTAAATAATTCATTACACGCCATTTCCCTCAGATCTTTCTCTCATCAAAAGGTCCATTCACATTCAAAGCAAGATGCAGTTGAACTCAAGTTTGTGCCATCTTTCCCTTAGAACATCCAGGAATGCCAAGCATTAAGAAGAATCCTTTTTGTCTTTATAATTCGTGGAAAAATCATCGTTAAGTACGACAAAAGTCTGATCCAACAAGTTCGGTGGCCATTCCAACATGACCAAATGTCGTAAAAAAAGTAAAAATGTTAGCTGTAACAAAATATTTTAAGGCAACGGGTAAGCCTCTCACTCCCTCCCAGTCAAATATTTTTACCGTTTGCACGTCCCAGCGGAGGAAGCACGAGTACCTTCCTATTCCCGCTGCTGGGAATCTCACTCAAAGCCTTATATGCGCCAGCGTCACAACGCCCTGGTCAACAGATATTTCTTCTCCCCCCTCAACCCCAGCCCGAAACTTGTGCGGCCAGCATGGCACAAACAAAGCGCAGGCAGCAAGGCGGCCTGGCCACGCCGAGCTCCGCCGCTCGGCAGCGCCGGCTGCTGCGGGCATCGGCCGCCGCAGGGCACGGGCCGCCACAAAGCCCTCGGGGCCGGGCGCGGGCCGGCCGGGCTGCTCCCGTTGCCCCGGAGGATGCCCTGCCCCTTCCTCCCTCTGCCTGCCCCGCGGCCCCGGCCGCGCACGCCCTCCCGCCCGGGCGCGACCGGCCCCGCGGCGGGAGGCACCGGCAGGGCCGCGGCCAGGCGGGGCAGGCCCCGCGCCGCTCCCTCACCTCGGCCGGGCAGGGGCGGCGGCGAAGGGACGGGACGCGGGGCTCAGCGGCGGCGGCGGCTCCGGCCGGGCCCGCGGAGCAGAGACGGCGGCGAGGGGGAGGAGGAGGAGGAGCGCGGCCCGTCGGCGGGCGGCGGCCGTTACCGTGCGGGCGGGCGGCGGTCGGGTCGGGACGGGGCGGGGCAGAGCGCAGCGCGGTGGCGGTCAGCGGGTGCCGGTCGCCCGGCGGCGTTCCGGGTGTTGGGCCGACTCCCCGCGACAATAAACATCCCCCAGCGCCGCGGGCATAGACGCGGCGCGGCAGAGCGGCCGCCGGAAGTGGCGGCGGCGGGAGGGAGGGAGGAGGGGACGGAGGGGGCCGCGCTTGCAGCGCTTCCGCTGTCGTCCGCCGCCCCCGGAGCCGCGGAACGCCCCGGGACGGGCCCGCCGTGCGCGGCTCCGCGCCGAGTCGGAAAGGACCGCGGCGGGTTATATGGTCCGACCTCCCTGCTCACGCAGGGCCGCCCAGAGCACATGGTACAGGATTGTGTGCAGACGGTTCTTGAGTGTCTCCGGTGAGGGAGGCTCCACAACCTCCTCGGGCAATCTGTTCCAGTGCGCGGTCAGCCGCACAATAAAGAAGTTCTTCCTCGTGTTCAGCTAGAGCTTCCTGTGCATCGGTTTCTGCCGTTGTCTCGTGTCCTAAAGGTTGTAAGACTGAGGCAGCGCGTTTGCCGGCGAAGCCGCTGGAGAGCCGGTGCAGTGTTCAGCTGAGGTGCTGTGAACGCTGGCGCGCCAGGCGTCTCTGTGGGCGCTGCCCTTGGCGCCTCTTCAGCCTGCTGCAGCCGCACCAGGTCCCTCGCTCTCTGGCCTGGCGGCTCCACACGCGCTCTGGCTGTACCGAGCGGCCAGCCGGGGTCGGACGGAGCCAGCAGCTGCCAGTGTTGCTGCTCCATACGTGCGTGTTGCACTGCAGCAGGACTCTGGTCACTGCATGGTGCACGCTTAGAGGGCAGACAGAACTGGACGTGAGGACGCAGTGTGAGTGCCTGGATGACACTGGTTGTCTCTGTTCAGACAGTCCTTTAAATCTGGTACTGTGCCACCTGTGCTGTCTGTAGGCAGTAGAGCCTGTGATGAACTACCTTTCAGCTACACTTACATTTTCTCTTGGTTGCTGTTGCGCTTTGCGTGGGAGCCCAGGAATGTGCCTGCAGTGTGGCCCATTAAGGACTCACCACCCAGACTGATGAATGAAACAGATGTGAAGTTGACTTCAAATTTAGAAAGAATATTGGTCTTTATATGAAAATTATATAATTGTATATTTATATGGGTGTACTGCAGAGTATTCACTGAATTGAAAATTTCCTGAAATTGAGGTTCTGTAACTATGTACTCTGCTTATGTGACGTGGTAGCAAAATAGCTTTAATTAGGATAGAAGGAACAGTATGAAATTTAAATTTTGAATTTTTTAGAGTTGGTGTGTTCTGCTAGATTCCGTTTAATACTTGAAATGCATGACTAGATTCGCCTGTCAAAAATAAGTATTTCAAGTTCTCTCTTCAAATCATCTGCGAGGACATGGTTTGGCTCTCCTGTTCCCAGGCTAGTTGCAGACCGGCATGGGGCAGCGCTGCCACCCTGTGGCTTCTTACAGACACTGATCTCCCACCTTCGGCTGAGCACAGGCGAGCAAGGCATGGTTTTGGAAACCAGGATTCTCAATTTACCGTAGTTCAGTGACTCTGCACTCCAGCATTTTTACAGAGTGCCTTAAGGCTGGTTTTGTTCTTTATGGGCTTCAGGCTCTGAGTCATTACAATTACACAGCCAAAGTGGGGTAGAGTGCTGTGATATCTTCACTCTGACAGTTCTTTCAGATTCTGGATGGCTGTATCACAACAGATGCTGATTTATTTTTTTCTGAATAGCTGATCACATCGGCAAGTTATGAAGGAAATCTTTATAAACCCTGATTTTGCTTGAATTTTGATTAAGCTTATGGTTTTTTTCAGCATAACCTTAAAGGTTATGTTGAAAATTCAAATTAAAATTCATAATTTTATGAATTATGAATTTATGAACTTTCACATAAAAAGTTAAATTCAAAACAAAATGTCTGCAAGCACACACTACCTCTGTCTGTTTCCACACGCTTGCTCTTTTCAGGGTATAACTTTTCCTAGCACATATTCCTCACAATAGTGTAGTCGTTCCTGGATGTTAGGAAAATTATTTTTGCTGATGAAGAGATGAACCCTAATAATTTCAAAGCTTTGACTGCTTTGTCAGCCTGAGCTTTTCCTGTTTAGACTAGGATAGTTTAGAAGATTGCATCTTTAGATATATATTTCGAAAATGTGCAAATATAAGCAACTAGTTATGATCACATAAACGTGGAATGCAAATAAGGTGATTTGGCACCTACTGAATTTGACTTGTAAATTTATCAGTTGTGCTGCAATTTTATTCTATACCTATATAGTTTACAAAACTGGTTGTCCTCTCCTTGCCTTCTTTTCCTGGTCTCCATTCCTCCACGCAACTCTAACTTGGCTGCATGTCTTCCTCCGCCAGTATGACTGAGGTGCCAAGGATCTGGATCTTCATGAGGTTCCAACTTACCAGATGCCGTATGACATCAGACAGGGAAGGCATAGAGGCCATTTCTGATGCTGTCACTTCCTTACTACGTGATTTCATTCCCCTGTGCCTTTATTTTGCAGTCCCTTGTTTGGGAAATAAAGAGGAGATGGAGATGTGGGGAGGGTGTTTCCTGTGTTTGGACATTCTGCAGCATGGAATTGTGGGCTGCTTGGGGCTATCAGTAAGAGTGCAGTAAAAACAAGGTAACTGAACTTTATTTAGGACACTGCACATGTTTTTTTGTTCAGTAATTACAGCAGTGAGACTGAATGAAAATACACTTTCACTATGTGGCTATTCAGCTGTATCTTCAGGTTTCTGTAATAGGAAATCACTCTTCAGACTGAAGCAAATGCTTGGTTATCTGTTTTTTCTCTATTTTTACAGGATTAATATTCACTCAGATAAGATCCTGTGCAAGGTAGACTATGGGAAAGTGTAGGGGGAAGAGAAGAAAGCTGGATGACCCCCTGAGGCAGCCCACAATGAAGGCTGGCTGGAGAGTTTTATGCAGCTATGTAGTAAATACTGTGGTGTCTTGAGTGGAAGATTGCATTAAAGTATTCGTGTTTGAAGAGGAAGTACCCAGGAGCAACCAGTGTCATGGATGTTCTGTGGAAATGACCCTGTGTGAAATGGTTATCAGCTGTAAACATGATACTGCAGGTTAATTATGAGACATCTCTAGCTGGCAGCCATCAGGGAATGAGCAAGACGTCAGTCAGGGAGGGAATCCTTTGCTCCAGGGCTTAGTTTATCAGGTGAAACAGTAAATTCAGCTGTGCCTTCTCACAGCTCTCTGATGATGTACAGTATGATAACTCATGTCAGCTCTGTTGAACAGTTACCTCCCTGCTGTAAGTGGCACTTATACCAGCTCCACAATATTCAAACATTGTTTAATTTTATAATATGTATTATTTTATATGTTTGTTTATAGAAAAGATAAATGTAGTTACTACATAGTATGTAAATATTTCTGTTACATTTTTATATAGTGTATATATATATATATTGCATAGTGTGTGTATCTGTATATTGCATAATATATATTGCTAGATATACTTTTAAATATAAGCATATTAAGAAAACGGCAATGAAGTACCTCAACATAAAAGTCAAACTATTGGAATGAGACTTCTCTTTAGTAAACTTTACAATAATTTAATACATATCTGTAGTTTCAGCCTCTATGACTAAATGGCATTTACAGATTATGCATGCTGACTTTTGTTGGCAGTAAGAGAGAAGCGTGGTGAAAGTGGAATCAGAAGACTGAGTGTGAGGGAAATGAGGAAGAAAAAATTGTGGGAATATAGTAACATTGGTTCTGCAGCAACTTTTCTGCAGTGCTGTGTCTATCTGTAGCCAAACTACAGGTGCTGGCCTCTGCTCCCCCTGTCCAGCTTGCTTCCTACCCCAGCAGAACAATGTTAAGTACACCTGCTGCTATCTGAATTCTTCCCATGGATTTAGGAAGAGGAATATCTCAATTCCAGATCTTGGAATGAGGTTAACTTGATGCTAATTAGCAATGGTGAGAAAGAGATACTATGAGGGCATATATTCAAATGTTGATGTCAGGCAAATCACAACTCAGATAGAAAAGGTACTGCAGAGTTAGGTAACAAATGAACAGAGGTTTTCAATGTTGTAATTTAGGGTATAATATTATTTAAATCTCATGTTATGTTTGTTCTTGAACTTGGCCTCTTCCTTTAGTCTTCACGTATATTAGTTATGAGATACAAATAACCAAGAGGGTCCCCACGAAGAATTTTTGGCCCATAAAAGAAGAAAGCAGTTTGATCTAGAAAACAAGTGAGAAGAGCATGAGACTGAGGTGAGACAAAGGCATCAAGTATCTCAATTGATGTAGCTTCTAAGGCTGCAGTGACACTGATAAATAAAACAAGGCTGAGGCTTATCTTTCTTTGTGCTTGGGTTTTAGCAAGGTCCTTGCTATGCCTTTGGCCTGTCTGACTTTTTCTCAGAAAGTATCCAAGCTTGATTTTGGGGTAGCATATGCTGGGGACTGGTCTTAACCTTTGGTGAGTAGAATAAAACCCAGTTCTGTGGGAATGTGTCCCCAGCCACAGCACTGGCTGTTGGAGGCAGAGCATGGTCCCTAGCCTGGTTTATCTATTCTAGTAAGTGATACAGATATAGATATCCAGCCTGAGAGGATCACTCCCCACACCTTACTGATTCCTATCTTTGTACT